GCGCTTCCTCAAATGCGAAAAATAATACACGTAGCGTCGCTGAGATGGAATGGTCACACCCTGCAAAGTCAGTTTCCTGCACAACCGCGGCAATAAACTGAGGAGGGGCACTGCTGAAGTGCAATCACAAACAGCAACTGCTCGCACACTTCATCTCATCTTCAAAACTGCGCTACGTCCCACATTTTGCGAGAAACGAAGACGTTCGGAAGTGATCCAAACAAGAGCTTTTGCCAACAGCAAGCAAAAGCTGGCCAGGCTGCCGCTCGTAGACCGGAGATGATCGGACTTCGTGATGTGCTAGATGCAACTGCACCAGCTGCTAACGGAAGAAATCAGCGAATCATAGATGGGATGGTCGCGGGCCTGATAGCCTAATGCATTTAAACGGCAGAGTAATGAATCCGAACTTCCGACGCTCTGACCTTTCACGGCACAGCGAGTTTTGCAGTACCATCCTACCTTATTATTCACTGTTCGCACAATACTGTAATAATCCATAATCTGCCTCGGTGAACAATAGAAGTTTATGTACACGAGATAAGCACAAATCATGACACCCGTCCGTCCTTTACCCGCTTTGCAATGTACAACAACAACATTCTGGTCGTCTGCAGCTAAGTATTCATGCACCTGTAATGCGAAATCTGTACCGTTTAATAAACAATGAAAAGTTAAAAGAAAATCACACGCCTTTACACGCAGTATTTCTTCCACTGCACATCAACTGTTAAGGAGCCGATTTTGCCAAAGATGAATTTTGGCCAGAGCTGGTAAAGTGTTTAACTCAGCCACTAAAACAGTCATTCCCGCGACGATTCGTATTTCATTCTTTCCAGCGATAAACTGATATAGATGCATGCCTGGGACTCAAACTCGCCATCAGCTTGTTTCTAAATGACCCTCGAAAGAAAAAGGCGTCCACAGTTTTGCAACGGATGACTGCTGTCGGCAGTTTGCCACATTTGAGTAACTACCGAATGCACCCGCAGAAAGTAAATAAAGACGCGGATTTTTACTTTTTGGCTCTAACGGACTCGATCCAATGGTTTAAACCTGCACATAAGAGCCATTTTCGCGCACACAAAGCCCATCCGCTAACTGAGCAACACAGATCAAACAAATGAATTTTTGAAGCTA